TAATCCGATTGCCAACCAACCCTTCCAACTGGATTCAAGCTTTGTTATATTTATCTTCATTAAGCATATCATCTCATATTGACTGAATTTCTCTTCCAAATAACTCCCCTATTACATTTTCCAGCCTTGATTTTTTTTGGACTAGGGCTCCTTTTCGTGCCTTTTTTATTGACTCATTTTCACTTTCTTCTACCCATTGCTCATTGAAATTCTGCAACTCTCTTAGTAAAGAAGTTCGGTCTTCAGGGGCGGAAGTGTCAATTTTTCCTCTTGCTTCATCAATTTTATCCTGCAATTCCTGCATTATTTCTGCCTGCAATCTGCTTATATCCCATACATAATAAAGATAATTTATTCCGTTCAAACTAGCAAATCCTTCTTCGTTAATTTCACTTGGATTTTTTCAACCATCTTTGTAAATCAAGCCAGCTTTCTCTCCGCTTACTTTTCTTATTTTTCGGTATTCATCGACTAACTGGTTATTTTCCGGACTGGGAATAATTTCAGCAACCTTGTAGAAATCAGTGCGGAACTTAAAGTGCTTTTCAATTTCCCCTAAATTTGCCAATAACCTATCCTTATTTTCTGAGTTTTTGATTAATTCTTTGTACTCTTCGGTTAAGTCAAATTCTCATTTTTCCCCTCCACCATTTGCTTGTTGATGTTTAACTTTCATTAACTCTAATTCTTTGTCATCCACCTCTTTTTTTAATTCGTTATAAACTTTCTGCTCAGCCTTAGTGGCCTGAATACTTAGTTTATTTAACTGCTCCAACTGCTCGTTTATTTCTTCAATATTAGCAGGAACATTACTGTTAATTATACCCCTTAGTTTTATAACTATCTCTTGTTCTTTTAAAGCCTGATATAAATTACTGATTGGTTTTTCTGGCGGCAAATGATTTCCTTTTACATTTTCTCTTATTTCATCTTCAATTTTATTAATTTCTTCAAACTTGGTGGCTTTTTGAATAGTTGAAAGGTAAAGTCCATACTTAAGTAATTCCAAATTAGTGCAAAGTTCCTTTTCTTTCTCTCGCAATGCTTCTTTCTGGTTTGAACCATCTTTTTCTTTATTTCATTTAGCAATTAGTTCTAATTCGTTGACCAAAATTTTTACCTCTTCATCGTTTCTTTCTTCTTGTTCATTTACCATTTTCGCGTGAAGTATCTTTTCTTCGATTTGCCCTTTTAATTTACTAATTACCAAATTTTTTACGGCCGCTACCACACTCTCAACATTTATAACTTCTATTCCTTCTTCGTCGGTAATTTTGATGAAAGATTTTTCCAATTTTTCCCAATCTTCATCACTAAGAGTTAGTTCTCAAGGTTTACCCTCATTATCCACTCTCTTTACTTCCACTTTAAGTTTGGTTAGTAAATTGCCATTCACTTTTTGATAAGCGTTGCTATCATCGCCTCGGATATCTAAATTGTTAATATAATCCTCTCACTCTTTGCCATCAATTTTTTCCAGGACAATTGTTCAGTTATTTTTATTGGCTAATTCTAGTCTATCTTTTACTTCCTCGATAAATAATTCTCTCGATACTTTCTTATCCTCGAACAAAAGTTTATTTTTTTCAATTTCTCCGAATATATTATCTCTTATTTTTCTAGCGGTCTTTTCATCTTTTACCTTGCCATTAGCACCCTCGTTAGTCAGTTCTCTAATATCATTTTGACTATCTAGTGATAAATCACTTTCTTCCAAGGAAGGCGAAGAGCCAGTTAGAGCCTGCTTAATTTGGTCATAGGCAATTTTTTTAAAGAATACTTTTAATAGTTCTT